CATCTAATATATACTGAGTTTCTTAAAAGGTAATCATCGTATGAACATTTGAACAACAGAATCGAATAATTATTATCACCAATGCCATAAAAAAGAGAGAAAATCTTCCTTATCTAGCTTATGTTGGTCTGCACATTGCAGCCAATGTATTAAACTGTCTTTATAAAGCCACGTTTCCCCTGCATGTTAAACAAGGCATGAAAGAGAAATCAAAGAATACCTTTAATTTGCTGCCTACAGTAAAAAAATAACATTATTTTGGCAGATACATAGTAGGTCTATGTGTACACACAAGCGCAAAGGCAGTGGAGATCTATCAATAATCTACCTACCTACCTACCTACCTACAGGGGTGAGCAAAGTAGGTTTAAATTCAACCACCTAGGAGGCAGTGGGGCTGACTCAGGGAGGTCACTGAAATTCAGCTTTGTTTACTGATTTTCAAAGACTACAAAAATGTGTAACTAATGAAGCAATTCAAGCACTTACGAGACTGTACCGAAGTGCACTGTGCCACTGTGACGTTCTTTTGAGTTAAGAAAGCTATTGCAATAATCATAACCTGTACCTTTTTCCATATGAACTGTAAACTTACTTTTGCCCATGCTGCACATGTATGTTTGTATGTAGACATACCTATATCTCCAGTTGCCTGTGGGTGTGTATACATCTGTGTATAAATACGTGGCATTTTTTAAAATCACGGAAAAAATAGAATTTTCCCAACTGTCCCACGGCATTCCTCTCCCCATAAAATCTCTTATGCTTTCTTCTCTTCTGTTGCTTTTTAATTAGGGAAACATGCAACTTCTGTCACTTGGTTTATTTAGTGTAGAAGCAAGCACCCTGTTTGTACCCAGAACATTTACAGTCCCTATTAAGGAAACACCATCTAATAGACTTCTTTGGGGACAGTGATGAGGAACTGAAGAGATTAAAGTGCAAAATTAACTTAAATTCTGAGTTTGTAGTCCTTTTACTTTACTACAGTGTGAGACAGCAAGGAACTCTTACTCCTGAAAGCAAATACACTACTTACTGCTGACATGAACAGTAAACTCACCATATAACAAACCAGATCTCTACTTTGACTTAAAATTATAAACTGGAATGGTGGCCTCCCTGGTTAAGTTTACTTGCATTTATCAAACTGTTGCTTCCTCTACAGGGGAAAAATCTAGCACACAGTGAGTGCGTGAATGAGTGACAAATCGAGGTCAAGGCAACAGGAGACCAAGTTGACTTAAACCAGGGATTTCCAATGGGTGTGCCACAAGAATTTTTAAAACATGTAATACCTGATAATTTAGTCAGGGGTACTGACCTCTTTTCCTTTAGATTGTCAAATAATCAGGGATTTCCAATGGGTGTGCCACAAGAATTTTTAAAACATGTAATACCTGATAATTTAGTCAGGGGTACTGACCTCTTTTCCTTTAGATTGTCAAATAATCAGGGATTTCCAATGGGTGTGCCACAAGAATTTTTAAAACATGTAATACCTGATAATTTAGTCAGGGGTACTGACCTCTTTTCCTTTAGATTGTCAAATAATCAGGGATTTCCAATGGGTGTGCCACAAGAATTTTTAAAACATGTAATACCTGATAATTTAGTCAGGGGTACTGACCTCTTTTCCTTTAGATTGTCAAATAAAAAAATATGACAACAGCCGTCCAGTGCGAATGCCCTGTCTTGAACCATAAACATACAGGTCATATAACAGTCGCATCTTATTGGTCATGTCGCATAATGAGGCTGTGTCTGATTGGTTAATCTTCGGTACTAGAAATCCTTACATATAAACATAGGCACGTGATTTTTTAAAAAGTCACTTTGGAGCAAAAAGGGTAGGTCATTACTAATTTTTGTAAACCAATCAATATTATACATGTATGTTGTCAGATTGGCAAAAAATATATTTTTTGGTGTGCCGCAGAATTTTAGTTATTAGTTTATGTGTGCCATGAGATGAAAAAGGTTGAAAATCGCCGACTTAAGTCATTAGTAGGCAAAGTGATCATGGTGGCATGGAGGATCCATAGTTTCTCATATAAAAGAGGACAATAATTCAGTTATTATATATAAAACATTACATAAGCTATCGTGTTATAAAAACAAAGATAATAGATAGCTACTTTATTGAGTTATAAGGCATGTGATAATAATAAATGGTAATGGTCGTTGCTCAGCAAGTGATAGTATTGATAGATAACGTCTGGCTGAAGAACCAGTGAGCCACACTGAAACTGCCAGAAGACAAATGGGAAGGAAAACAGCTCAGAGGCCAAAAGTAGGCAAAATGAGCCTCGTCTCAGCTGTGCCAGGCCCCAACACTCTTACTAAGATGGAGCCTGGTGAGACCCTACCAAGCCTGTCATTCCTCCTTCCAGGAACTAAAATGTGCCTGTAATGTAGAATCATATTGCTTCTAGAAATATACAATGTTAAAAAAAACAAAATTACATTACTTCTCTTTAAATCTATTAAAGGTCTACTGAAAAGTCTTCCTCAAAACAACAAAAAATTATCTTTCATCAGCAACCACCAAGAAATTTTTTGGTACTCGGAAAAAAATGGTGGAATGTGAACATGTGGACAGAGCTGGGGGCCCCCTCTGTTGAACTCATGCCTTGCTCTGTCCTAGACCCCAGGTAGCACCCCACTGTCCAGGTCCCGCCTGAGCTACTGCACCCCATTCCCACTGGGGGGGTTCTCCTGCCATCTGTCCACTCCCTCTGGGCCTCAGCCTGACCCCCTTTTCTGAGCTGCTGCCTTGACTCCCTCCTTCATCCCCTCTCTCTCCAAGTCGCCCTAATTTGCCTCACCACCTCCATCAAAGCTTTTCCTTTTTTTCATTGGACTTTCACCACAAACTGCAACTGTGGGCTCAACTTTAGTGCAAGTCCATTTAATCCGAGTAGTTTTAAGCGCATGAATTTGTGCTCAGGGAGTGTCATATGCTTCAGTGTCCCTTACAGTGCCTAGCACAGTGCTAGGGATGTTACAGGTGTTTAGGAAACTTGTTGCTAGAACATCATAGGTGGTCAATAAAACCCTTCTTTTATCTACCAATGACACTGAAGTGTTGCACCGAGGTAAATTACCCCATGGATTCAATCCAAATAACACTTCTGTATTAATTACCAAGCTACTTAAGGCAAGAATGTTTTCTGGTCTTAATTATTTGGACTATTATTTTAATTGTCACTTCTCAACTAAAGGCTTCACCGTATGTTTGCAAAACACTGAAGGCTGAATCTTCACAAACAAGGCAAAAGTAACAAAATATTCTCATAAATTCTTCAACAGCATCCTGAAAGGGAGCGATTATGCATGTAACTCATGCTTCCAAATTTTGTCTTTGGTAACTTTCACTAGGAATGCTCCACATATTCTAGTTTGAAATATCTACATAATTACCTCAATCCCTCCCTCCCATCCCATTGTAAGAGAGCCAAGGCAGTGTTCAGTGGTTAAAATTTTTGTTTCCAAATAGCAAGTCTGATACCTTCCAAAAAGAATTAAGACAACGAACAGAAAAACACACACACACAAAACAAAACAAAAACCCAAACAAAAAACCTGTTATCACCAAAAGAATGTAAAATGTTTCCGTGAGGGAGAGGGGGATCTATTTTAAATTTACAACTGCTTAAAAAGGCTTCAAGACACCCCCCCTCCCGCGCCCCAATTGAGGAATGCAGTTAAAAGGCTGGCAGAACCCCCTTGGAGAGCTCCCGTGGCCCCTCCCTCCCAACCCGCGTTCTTAAAGCACATTTCTTTCAGCCCGTAAAACGCAGCCTCCTCCCCCCCCCAGAATAATTC